GTATAAGAAAATTCAAAGAAGACATGTAAAGAATATATATATTTATAAAGAACAGGTGGCTACTTGAGAATAACAGGATGACATTCCTAGATAAGATATAAATATCCATGCAAACAATAGATTTAACATTCAAATAGTTCTTTTGGATGAAATAACATTTTTTTTCAGATAGAAATCATATAAAGGAATACCAAGAACAACCCCCAAAATATTTTCTGAATTTTTATTATTTGCTAGTAGTATATATTCTTTTTAATTTTATAATTATGATAAAAAATTATTTAATATTTTGTCAACATTTGCAACCCTAACCATAAAACTAAATTATATATTTCCATAGTTTTCAATGGTCAGGTTTGTTTTCATTTCTTCTTTAATATGTATGTGTGTGTGTGTGTGTGTGTGTGTGTGTGTGTGTGCATATATATATATATATATATAAGCATATTTATTTAGGAAATTGTAAAATGAAAGTTATCTTGAAAGGTATATATATATATATATATATATATATATATATATAAAAGAAATATGTTGTAGTGGTTCCAACGAGAGAAAATATGTATATTAAAAGAATGTATATAAAAAAAAAGAAGGGGTGCCATAAACGTTTTTGGTTGTAATGTGGATTTATTGAGAAAAATATTATACTTTGTTTTACATAATTTACGACACGTGTTTTCTGGTCTGGTCTGTAACCGTCTTCAGGTGAAAGTGGAATTTTTACATATTATTAAAAAATAATTAATTTTTCTTCATGTTCAATGTGGAATATTCTTGATATGAGACATTCTGTTTGTGTGTTGGCAATCCGAATTTTCTTTCTAGAATTGTCAATGAAGAGTTCTGCGTGAAGGGTCATAAAACAATTAAGGTTTGTCCAGCGAGTAGTTATCGGCATTTAATCTTTTAATGTTTTAGTGACCTCTATGTGCTCTTGGATCTGTTTCTATTTTGGCGTGTTCCTGTCAGCATGCGTGTATATATGTTTGTTTATATTTATTTTACTACGAGGAATTAAATATAAACTTATTGAACTTTATACAATTGCATACACACACATACACACACACACACATATGCACATACACGGAACCGTCATATAGCCTGACATGCCTTTTATATATTTTATATATATATATATACACACACACACACACACATATATACATATACAAATGTGTGTGTGTGTGCGTGCGTATGTGTGTGTGTGTGTGTGTGTGTGTTACCCATATTATATTAAATTATATTAAAAAATAAACTTTAAAGATGTTAAAAGAAGTGGCTGCAATTTCTTAAAATTTTGTCTTTAATGAATTTGTTCCAATAAAAAAATGAAAAATGGTACATTCCCTGCAAGCTAGAAATGTCTTCAAGACTTTCAGTTGATTCTTGGCTCACTTATCTGCAAAGTTGAAAAAATGATGGCTTTCATTTTTTAATGTTGCAGACTCTGGCCTGAACAGGATCTCTATAGACTAACTCATTTTATTTTATTTTTTTTGAACTTATATCTTTCTCTTAGTAGTTCCAGATTTGACATTTTAACTGATATGATCTTTGAATGCATTTGGATTTCCTTGGGTGTGTGTTGCATCCAACATATTCCAGAACTTCTAAAATGTTCATCATCATGAAAGTATGTTTAAAAACAAAGACAAAGATACTAGCATGAAAAATGTGTGGAATAAGAAAGATACCACACATGGTATCTCAGAGTTTCCCAACCTGAATGATATCACCCACTGGTGGGTGATTCCAACTGTTGGGTGGGCAATGAGCGACTTTCTGGGCCAGACCTGGATCCACAATTTTGAAATTTTGAATTCCTAAGTTTTCATTACTGTGATTGTTTTTTTTTTGATTTTTTTTTTTTTACATGATTTTTGAACCAATTTTTTTTTGTATGATACGGCAGTTTTAATCTATTATATATATATATATATATATATATATATATATATATATATATATATGTGTGTGTGAATAATTCACCTCTTAAAATGACATTCAAACCAGGATCTCATAGTCAGTTATCCATTAAAAATAACGTTTGAAGTAATAAAAATGTTAAATTAAAAATTACTCAATACTTTAGAAATATATATATATATATATATATATATATATATATATATATATATATATATAATAATAAATGTGAATGTTAACTTGTCACATGTTTTCAATTTCCTAGAGGCCAACATATCATACCATTTTGGAATCAGGTCGAACTGGGGAGCAAATTAAAAACATTCTGTAGTTTATTGCTGCCTATCACATCTACTCTTCTCTTCTTCTACTGTGATGAAGAGCCAATAAAGTGCTCTCTGAAGGATATATATATATATATATATATATATATATATATATATATATATATATATATATATATATATATATATCTTTCTCTGTTTCTGTGTGTGTGTGTGTGTGTGTGTGTGTGTATATATATATATATATATATATAGAGAGAGAGAGAGAGAGAGATATCAGTAATTCACCTTCTTAACAAATGAGATTCAAACCTGGATCTCATAGACAGAATGCTAATATTCTAATGATGCTAGATCAGGACCTATCACATTTCATATCCATGTCTTTGTGTGTGTGTATATATATATATATATATATATATATATATATATATATATATATAAATCAGGCATAGCTGACCACATCTGGAGAGAAAAGGTAGATCACTGGAAAATATATAAACTTAAGGAATCAGCACATATGCTAGGCGACAAAAATCTCCTAAGCTGGCAAAGCATACAAATGAATACAATGATATAATAATTAATAATACTAGAGATAAGCAATAATAACAACAAAAATTGCAATATGAGCTCTGGTAAAAAATGCTACTGAGACATTACGTTTAAAAGTCCCAAAAATTCAAACACTGATGTCCTCAGTGACACATGGCTCAGTGGATTTTGGATCCAGTGACTTGACCCAGAGAGTTTCGAGTTCAGTACCTTGCTACTACAGGTAACAAACAAAAACTTTGTGGGAAAAAAAATGAAAATGAGTTAAAAGAAGACAACTGAGACATCTAGAAGAGGCATGGAACTAGAACAATTTACCCCCATGGATGAAATAAAGGCTTCATTTTGAAATTCCAATCACCTGAAACATACAATCACCTAGAGTGTACAACAGTTAAATTGTCATCAATATGGCAATAAAGACGAGGACAAGAGTCTGAACAATGTAAATAATTACGATACCTCATCTCAGAAATATAGACAGATAATGCAAAACAGTCTTAAGTTTTCTGACTGTTTTTAACTCGCAGTAGGAGATGTTAATTTTGGGGAAGTTACTATCTTTTTTTTGTTGCTTTTCAAAGATGAATAACAATGACAATACTTGCGATATGAACAATTAAATAACATGGAAAGAAAACTAGTAAAAGAAGTTAATAATGATACTTGGTATCACTAATATTTTTCCACCAAAACTTTGTTTTTCCAACAATCAAAACATTCTAAGACTTCAGTCACATAGAGAAAAATTGCAAAGTAAAAGAAATATTTTTTTCATGATGTGCCCCCCCACCCATTTATTATATTTAGAATTTGCAAAGTAAATTAAGCATTAAGTAAAAACATGGAATTAAAGCATTAGTCAGTGTTTTATCTGTAACTTACAAACATTCATAAGAATTTATGCAGGTGAAATTTGTGATGACAAACATTAAAATTGATTCTGGATCAGGGAAAATTGCATTATGGTAAAACCAATTCTGGATCAAGGTAAATTATATTAAAACTAATTGGAGATCAATATTAAATCAAATTATTCCTAAAATTAATACTTGATCAGGATAAATTACATTAAGGTTAAAATTGATTCCAGTTCAGTGTAAATTTCATTAAGGCTAAGTCTACAGTGTGGTCCGAAAGTCTTGTCACCTCCTACATTATATAATTTTCTATTTCAGATGACTGACACAAACTTCTACAGTTTAGGAGAGAAGTAGGGGGTGACAAGATTTTTGGACCAGCTTGTAGATTAGGGTTAAATTATATTATGGTTGAATTTAATTATGGATCTTGTTAACATTAAAACTAATATCAGATCAGGATTAAATTAGATTAATGTTAAAATTTATTCTGGGTCAGGATAAATTACATTAAGGCTAATTCCAGATCAAGATTAAATCATATGGTTAAAATTAATTCTAAATCAGGGTAAACTGCATTAATGTTAATTTTAGATCGTGGTTAAATTATATTAGTGTTAATATTGATTCTGGATCAGGGTAAATTGTATTAAGGCTAACTCTAGATCAGGATTAAATCAGATTAAGGTTAAAGTTAATTCTGAATTTATACTAATATATTAATGAAATTTTGGTAGGTCCTTCAAATCCTGAAGGATAGAATTAATGCTAGATGAGAGCTAGAAGACTTGAAGCAGAAAAAACTTGTCTTTAGATGGAAAGAAACAAAAAAAAGAAAATTTGTTATAACATACCAAGTAGAAAATTCATCGTTAGCATAATAATTACTAGGAGTAAAAGTGAAATCAGGAAGCTGAGTTCAATTTCTGGGCTAGTCTGCTGTGTTCACTTTTGCACAAATGCTCTTCAAAAAGGCATGAATCCATCTTTTCTCTCTCCAGCTGTGTGATGAATAGCAGTTTAGACTGGGCTCTTAAACTTTTGGTGGAAACCAGTCCAGGAAAAGGACTCTGATGAATTAACAATGGTGGCAAAAACAAGGGGTAAATCTGCACATATTAAAGGAAGTTGAAGGGACATGGCATTTATTTAAAAAAAAAAAGAAAGAGAGATATGGTTCCACAACAAAAATATTGCTATAAATGAAGATGCCAGGAAACAATAGTCATAGTCAAAAATGTACAAAGGTCAACAGGATTCATAAATGGAAAAGCACTGAAAATTAAAGAATTGGTAAATAGAAATTATTGTCTTTTGCTTTTGTTTTGTTTCGTTTTTTTTAATGAAGAGAAACGACAAAATAACTTACACTGTAACTTTCTTTAATTGTCCATCACCTTCAATTAAAAACAAAGAGGGATATTCCTTGATCTGGTATTTTTCAAATGCTCTGACGGAGAGCATTCTCCGAACAAGAATCGTGGGATATTTGCACAAATCAAGGATTAACTGTAAAAGAAGAAAAAATACATACATGTATGTGTGTATATATATATATATATATATATATATATATATATATATAGCATAATGAGAAGCCACGTATACTTTCTTAATATGTATATATAGAAAAAGTTTCAAATTAAAAATTATAATGTTTTATTTTATGAAAGTATTTATTTATTTATATATATATTTGATATTTCAAATTGTCCTCAATTTTTCATCAGAAATAACTGTTTGTTACAAATAAATTAAAATTACATATAATTATATATATATATATATATATATATATATATATATATAATTATTATTATTATTAATGCATATACATATCCCACACTATGAGCAGCACTTGGAGTTTCATACCAAATGCAATATTCAGGTGCAAAATGTATACTGACTGTTACTTTTCTATAATTTGAAAATATATCAGTTTATCGTAATGTTGGCTTAGTTAAACACTATTTGTATTGTGATGTAATTTTTGCAAAACTTATTTTTTAAAAATTAATTATATTTTTTATCACATTAAATCTAGCAACTAAAATAACCAGTGTTACCATATGAACATTTTTACCATAATTATTAATTTATTTAATTTTAGAGTGGTGAGATATCAGCTATAAATTATTAATTATTTATGTAATGGAAGGAAGCCAACTTAATCTAATTTAATATAAAATTAGTAATATTATTAAAGAAAAATATATAATAATAAATAAATAAAAAAAATACAAATAAATATATGTAAATAAATAAATATAACTTATAAAAACTATTAAAAACAATAAAAAGTCTATAAAAGATAAAGATAAAAATAAAATAAAAAATATATATAATAAAAAAATCTATATTAATGTTGTAACCTAGAAAAGGTTACTGAATGAGGAATAACCAAAATGGAGGTTGGAAATGAAATGGTAATCTTTATAACATCAACAAAATACAATACTCGCCAGCAGCATGAAGCAGGTAAACCACTAGTAGTGTACTTCGGCAGCATATTACCCCCCCCCACAACACACACACTTAGAACAATGTCCAATGTATTTATAAGGATTGGGACATACCCATTAATGTTCATAAGTACATAGGTATATATCAATTAAAAGAACAATAATTAATAACCCATAATATGTAATAAATAGTAAATAAATAAATAAGTTAATAAGCAAATAGATAAATAAAAATACCCTACACTGAAAACTAAAACACGGCAGTATAGAAAAATTAATCGGGGTCTGTGTGCTTAAGAAGATATTTATTTTTATGCCTAGATGTGACCATCAGTTCTTTTCTCTTATTTCATAAGCCTGGGTTATTTAAATGTTGTAAAATAATTGTTTTTCAACTAAATACAGATTACATTTATTCCCTTTGCCATTAAACAGCTTAGCCCTTGCTATTATATTCTGTTTAACTGAAGATGAATTGCCAGAAGCTTTCAATTGCCAGGAATAATTGGAGAGTACAGTGCTGTTTTGGTATTTAATATTAGTCATATGGTAATGGTAGAAGCAAAGCTTCCAAGGATTCTCAGTAGAACCAAAATAGAATTTAACATTGCTACTGGAATGAATGCTTACTCGATATATAACATTGTTGGTCATACATTGACCGTTTAATGGACAGATCATATTTTTTCAGAAATTGCATTATATGGTTGTGTAGTGATATAGATCTATCAATGTTACTAGTGCAGCTATAACTAATTTTGACATTATTTTTGTCAAAAATCTTTTTTTAATTCTGGTGAATGGTTAGAATTCTTATGGATTAATTTTAAGAAAATTTTTCTGATATTAGTTTGGACATTACAGTTAAAAGGTGCATTAAACCATATGATATTGTGTTTACAATATTTCTGTTTTCTCTTACCATCTTTGTTAGTATCCAAATACTCTAAGTTTACCTTACAATTATTAAGTTCCAAAGCCTTAATGTATCTATCTTTCCTTAACATTAAATATTTCTTTGTTGCTGGAGTTGGTGGATAATCTAACTTGTACTGAATTGCGCAAATTATCTATAATTTTTTGATGGTGGTTTGAATCTTTACTAATGCATTTATGGTTATGTAGTTCTTTTATAAGGAGGCATGGTGGAGTAATGGATAGCAGCTTGGATTGAGGAATCAGAGAGCCAAGTTCAAATTCCAGTGGAATCCATTACATTCAATTACGTGCTAATACTCTCAGGAAAGGTATGAATCCTCTTCTTCTCTCCCCAGCTATGGGTAAATAGCAGAACATACTGTGTTCTATAGCCTTGGATGGAAACTGGTCTACCACAGAAAGAAATGGCAATGTACTGCAGGAAAAAAAAAATCTGCCTCGTCAGTCACGTATCGAAAGATACATGATCGCCTAAGCATGTATCACACATGGCACATAACTGACTGAGTTCTTTTGTGTATGGTTTATTGTAACCATTATCTAGGTCTAATGTTACATCTAGAAAATTAATCACTTTTGTATTGGTGGTGGTGGTGGTGGTAGTAATGATAAGATCATGGTCCTTAAAAAAGTTTATTAAGTTCTTTTCTCAATCAGTCTGTATTACACGGGCTAAATTTCTGGAGAAGAATTACCCTGTCATCTCTATATAGTCTGGTGTCCTTAATGCCAAACATAAATCTAAGACACCTTATCAACAGAATTCCAGCAATATTAAATGCTTCTACAGAATCATATACAACCATAGCAACATTAAACTCTGGGTTGTTTCTTTTAGTCCACAGACAATCATTGTGGAAAAGTACTGGTGTTTATGCCCGCTTTATGATATTTAAATCCTGAACACTAATAGGGCAGTAATCTCTAGCTAGCTTTATAGCCACCATTAGTAACCTCTCAGTGATGGACTGGTAGATGTCGCAAATATCAAATTCTATGAATGTGCTTAGTTGAAAAAATAATTATCTTACAACATTTAAATAACACAGGCTCACTAAATAAGAGAAAAGAATTGATGGTCAACACTTGAGTGTTTTCATTTGATAAAGGAATTATTAGTTCAAATGAATGTGACAAAATAAATCTTTACAGGCCAGGTTTGTTTTGATCAAGGATGACACACTATCAGATAGAGGTGATGTTGACACCTGTGATAATAAGGTCAAATGAGAGTGAGATTCCGGCACATGAAAAATGTTCCACTGAAAGTGGATATGAGCAATACAAGGCCACAATTTTGATTGGCACACCAATGAGAGAAGGACTGGGAAGGAACTTCTTACCTTCCTCTCTGATACTTATGACACAGGGACATTATTTTGATTGGACAACCAATCATATTAGGTTTTTAGGAGCTTTCTTTCCTCCCCTTCAATATGTATGTCACAAGACCACAGGTCAAGCATTATTATTGGCTAGTCAATCAGAGCAGTGCAATTAGGGTTTGCACCCCCATAAAAGCAGTCGCCGAAAGGGCAGAAGTAAGATGAAACTGGTCTTGCTGCTAGTAAACCAACACTCACCTTACCGAATGATAGTGGTACCTCAGTCAGCTAAAGACCTTTTCTCTATGTTGCTTTTTCAACTTCCTTGATCAGCTGCCTTTACTTAAATGATTGAATGACTCTGGGATCTTTAGCCATAATTTCAAATGGCAGTCAACCTCTTTCCCCCAGCTGAAGAATAACTTATATGGGGAAACTTCTATAAATCACTTTTGTTTATGTATTCAAGATCATAATCAATCATAGTACCATAAATAAAATTTGTTATTTTTACACTTGTTAATGAGTGTCGTTGAAGTTAAGTTTTTACTGGTGACACCGGTGATTTAGTCTTTCACAAGCATAGCCAAGACGGAGAGGAGTCAAGCCTGATCTTTGACAGTTCTTCACTGATATTCCTGTGGATACTGAAACACAACATAGGGTCACAGGATTGGTGCAGAGCAGGCTCAACAGAGATGGGCCAAAGTAGGAGTGGCATTCAGTGAAGCACACAGTAACAGGACCACACCCCTTTGCAGGAGAAACAGTCATTTCATCCAACATGCTTTTGACCAGTCGGCTACAAAGAGCATAATAATCAAGCAAGATTCTATTTGACTTTAAAGCACACTTTACTCATTTAAATTTCTGCCAACAAGTAAACAAAGCAATTTCTAAAGAATTAATGAATTTTATTTATTAATCCAACAAACTTTATTTACTCAAATGTGGGTATCCACTAAGTGACAAATTTTATATTTTATATATACGATTAATTGAAATTTACATTTTTTTTTTTTATTTTTTATCCTGCCTCATATATGCTTTAGAGGAATTTCCTAATATGTATGCAAGGACTCAAGACTTTGGATTTCTGGTTCAAAAGGTTCTTTGGATCTGGAAATGTCATAATTACTAATTATACCATAAGGTTGAAACCAAGGTTGTGGATTCAACTGACCTGATTTTTAAAGTTAAAAGCTCAACATGTTATTTTTACTTTTATTTTTTTCACACATTTATTGAGCACTTTTTAATATCACTGTTTCCTGGTTTGATTCAACTCTGACCATTAACCTTTTATGTATATATATATATATATATATATATATATATATATATACCATTATTTAATGTATTTTCTATTTATACATTTTATTATTTCTAATGTATTTTCTGTTTATAAGTTATTTTTAATAGATACAACTTATTTAAGTAAATCTATTAAAAATAATGGATAAACAGGAAATATATTAAATAATTGTCAGCCTTAATCTGTTTCATAATATATATGATTGTATCAAAAGAATTTTCAATTTGTTTTCAGCACACATCTTTAATCCAAAGCTTAATTCATTTAAACATCATACATATAAAGCCTGTGGCTCCATAATAATGACAGAGTATCAAAAGTATTTTCCTTTTTTCAACATCCATTTTACTCCCAGAGCTTATTTCACTTAAATATTATAAATCTAAAGGTTATTACCTATAATAATAAGAATAATGATAATAATAAAAGAATGTACCAAAACTATTTTAATTTATTTTTAATGAACATTTTTACTCTAAAACTTATTTCATATAAACATTATACATCTTAAGGTCATTACCTATAATAATAATAATAATAATAATAGTAGTAATAATAATAATAATAGAATGTATCAAAAGTATTTCATTTTTTTAACAAACATCTCTACTCCAAAATTTATTTCAGATAAACATAAATATAGATTGTAACTCCATCATCGTCATAATAACAATAACAATATATTTAGCATGCTTTATTGTCATAATAAACAATATATTTAATATGCTTCATCGTCATAATAACAATATATTTAATATGCTTTAATCCAAAAGCTTATCAGGTTGTTTGTTAATGTGTATATATGGGCCAAGGTGGGCACCTTGAGGTGTAATGGTTAGCAAGCTTGTCTCGCTAGAACATTTCAGTGAGTTCGATCCTCACTGGGTACCCTCTACCATATCTAAGCTATACCTGGAAAATCACTATATATGGTCCAAGGAAAAAATTTGTCCAGTGCCCACAACCACTGCCACACTGGTATTTGTATCTGCCAACCCTCCCACTTTGTGTTAGAATACCTGGAGCCAGGCATCTATCCAAGATTTTCTGCGAACTGTCCTTGTGTCAAACTAAGCTGGGTAAATATAATATTCACAATAACAGAAGGAACAGCATGCTGTAGAGGCATACAAAAGCAAAATGGAAAATAAATAGAAAACCAGAGCTTCCACATAATGTCCGTCTATTGATTCTTACCTCTCTTCCAAGTTGGCTGCTCTTCTCTTCAATGATGACAGCAGTTATGGCATGAGACTTTGTCTGCAGCTTAAGGATGTCATGAATGAACCTGGGTGAAAAGAAACAAATAAATCTTAATCCAAATTGTAGCCAAGGTGACAAAGCCGGACAGTCACAACTGTCATCTTTCGGTGACAAAGAAGTGAACCTTTTGCAATGCAACTTTGCTTATTGGTAATGATACACAAAAACTTAACTGGATAAAATAGTACCAAAAGATTCTTTTAAAGCATTTTGAGAGTATAAATCAACCGTAGGCCAAATTCAAAAATGTGATCTGAGGCAAAAACTTTTCAGCATCCCTTCATGTATATTATTATGTATTATATTTTCATTTTTTTTCTATTAGTATTTTCTTACATATGCTGCGACTCTTCAGGACACAGGTGATCATTGTTTTCAACAGCGTTCTATCTCTTGTGGGTCTTAGGAGTATTCCTCTCTTCACCAAGCCTCCTGCTCCCTATTCTTCCATCCATTCACACAAGCTCATCAGGTTGTTGGCCCATTGCCTTCCTATATCTCTCTTGTCCTAAATATATCCTATGAGGAACAAGTTTCCTCATTATGTGTCCAAGAAACATCAGTTGCCTCTTCTTGATTCTGAGTATAAGTGTTCTTTGTGCTACCATTTTCTTTCAGACTGCCTTTTTGCTTACTGGCTTTATTCATGGAATTCTCACCATCCTTCTGTCAGACCACATTTCTGCTGCCTCAAGTTTTCTTTTCGTCTGTAAGGAAATTGTGCAGAAATAGAAAAGCATCTTTGCTGAATTTTTTTTGTCTTTACAAAAGAAACCTCTGCGTCATTGGAAGTTTTTTTTTTAGCACTGAGTGACAAGCTCTTTCCTGGGAACCTTTTAATGACCTCTTGGATTGGAGGTCAATTTTGATGGCTTCAGCTGCTTCTTTCCTGTCTGCATCTTTTGACCACTTAACCTCTTTACATTTTACCTTATCTATTGCTCTGGAATTCTCTGCATCATGGCATTTGTTACATTTGATTCTATTTACTTATATATATATATATATATATATATATATTTTGTTCTTTACAACTTCATTGGACTAAATTTATGTTGGTGCGACTACACGTGCACCAAGAAGGGATGGGGATAATTTTCATTTTTTTTTTAATTTAGCTGATTTCTTTTAGATTTAGGAAAACGGAAATGTAATACATATTATTTAAAAATGAAAAAACATGGAGGGTCTATTTCAAACATGGAGTTTATATATATATATATATATATATATATATATATATATATAATAAAAATGATAAGAAGAAGACAGAGACATTAATTATCCATTTCAATTATAAATTTATTTCATGAACACCGAGATGTTCAAGTCTTCGGATTGAGATCTCCTCCGTAAATTCTAAGTCTACATTAAGCTCTCCCTGGATTTATATCTTCCTCTGAATTATCTTTTCCAATCACAGACTAGTAAGACATATATATATATATATATATATATATATATATATGTACTGTGACCGGCAGTAGGCAGAACAAAAAGTTACTTTTGTTAATAATATTCTTAGGGTGATGTGAATAAACAGACATATATGAATAAAAACATTTATAACTTTTTATAGTTTTCAAATTGTTTGAATTTCTTAGAAATACAGTTTCCTAATTATCATATTTATGGAAGCCCAATACTGGTAATTTTAATTAATAAGTATTAAAATTATTTAAGTACTGTGCAAGAAGCAGAAAACAGATAAGTTGATATCCATCTTCAAAAGCCGATTAATCAGAAATCCTTGTGTACGAAAAGATGCAAAAGCAATATGAGAAAAGAGAGAAGCATCATTGACAATGACTGGCATAAAAATGGCACCTGTCATTCAGAATGTCCACAGGGCAAGGTGAATAAACTCCAAAATATTGGCAAAATTATTAATGACTTTTATATTCCATAAATTTCTGAGTATTTTAATTATGGCTTTTTGTCACTTTATATTCTACACCTTGTTTATGAAAATATCAAAAGAAAATAGATATTATGACTGCCAATAGGTAAAAAAAAGAGTAACTATTAAGAGTTGAAATTTCTAGGACACATAATGAGGAAAGAGGGCTTGGAGAATTTGATACTCACAAGAGATATGAAGACAAGAGGGACAGAGGAAAGCAACAAGTAACCAACCTAAGAAGCTTATGCAAACAGATGACAGGGACTGGGAGGGGTGGTGAAAAGATCAAGAGAAAATAGATATGTACTCTGATTGTTAATAGGCAAAACTAAAATTATGTTTTATTTGTAATATTCTTTTTGTTGATGGAAATAAACAGAAAAATATTGGGTTGGTGCATAATTATCAGGCGTTTTTAAACAATATTTGTTATGAAAAAAAGAAATATAGCAATTCAACAATAAAATTTTTAAATTAGTATGATTATCACCATACATTTTTATAACCTGAAAATAAAATAATATTTTTATTAAAAAAAGTAAACAAAACAGCAATTTATATTAACAAATAACTTGCTTCCAAAACGCCTGATAATTTTGCACCAACCCAATACTTAAGAAAAATATTTAAAGACATTTCATAAAAAAGATTGTTTGAATTTCTTATCTGGAATTTCAATAATATAATTCTGGTTGTTTGAATATACAAACATTACAGTATTTATACCTATGATCTGAGTGTAGAGCTGGAATCTGGCTTTCCGACCAGGAAAACTACATGATAATATCAAGTTGGAAAAGATTGGAGGTAACGAGGGAGAGATGATGTGGCAGAGGAAATATGGTGAAAAGTAGTAGAGGGTGAAAAAATGTTTAGAGAATAAAAGAAAAACAAAGATATGCATACAGAGAGAGTGGGGAAGAAATGAAAAAGAAAGAAAGAGAGAGAGACTGGACTGCTGATTGGCTATCAAGATTTTTTTTTATTCGTTTTTTTTCACAGCTTATGAACCCTTTCAAGGTTATTTAAAGACAGAAAATATTTTTAGATTGTAAGAAACTATTTTGGAAAATCCAGAGACGGATATGCAATGTAACTGGCATCTCATCTGCAGTCCCTCTCTCACAGACATGCTGTTGCCTCCCTTTGTCTTTTTTACAAATACTTTCATGGTAACTGCTCCGATGAGCTGCTTTTGCTGGTTCCCAGACTTCCTGAATTTAAGCATTCAACTAGGCTGGCATCTCGCTCTCAACATTTCACTGTCAAAACTGTTAAATGTAGCCATCTCTTCTACTCCAATAGCTTCATGTCTTGCACATCTCGCCTGTGGAACTCTCTCCCTTTTTCTTGTTTACCTGATAGCTATAATCTCCAATTATTCAAATGTAATGTCAATCAATGTTTCCAGATGCCTTGATCTATCCCCTATCCTTCTCCTTTCCTCCATAACTCCTCTTTGCTCTCGCTTCAACTCTCTGTGCTACTGGCTTCCCACCTTGCTTGGGGTGAAATGCTTACGAAAGAAAAAAAAAAAAGAAAAAAGAAAAAAAAAAAGTGATACAAGTCTTACCCATAGCTGGATGAGGAGAGGTAGATTCATACTTTTCCTAAAGGTATTTGTGCATAAGGGAATATAACAAACCCAAAAGAAATTAGAACTCAGCTCTCTAAATTAACAATTTTGTGTTGTTATCCATTACACCACTCACGCATTCAAGCTTACAGCACTTGGTATTCCTAAGCAGTCATATATTTACGTAGTGACCAGGCTAAATGTTGATTAATTTCAAGGATTAAAATCTGTGTTTCAACATGATATGGTTGTAAGCCTGGTTGTCAAGAGACAAGGAACAAAAGATTGAAAGGAAAGGCTGAAATAATGAAATAACTGCAATGCATTAAAATTATTTTTGGTGAGAGAGAGAGCAAAATAAAATATAAAAGGGAGGATGCAGAAAAACTATTTGTACATTCCTTATTCATTTTCTGCATATGAAACCAATATATGTTTTTATAACATTCAAATACAGACATAGATAGGCATTGAAGATTGGAATGGATAAGGGAGAGAATGAGAAGATACAGGAAAAGGGTGAAAGAAAAGCAGAGACATATAGTAAGAGACAAACTCTGTTGTCAAAGATTGGTTGAGCTAGTTTTTGCTATCATTTTTTATTTGTTTATATATTAATTTATTCATTTTGTTTTTTCATTGCAAGGCTCATGTCACTTTCAATTATACAGCTGTTAAGTTATTAGCATTGACTGGAAATGAAAAAGCAGTCTCTGGTGTTATTTGAACTCACATGTGATACTCTTCCAACACAGACAATGTCTTTACTGATTCAGACACAAAGACTAGCTAAATAAAGTGAAAGCAAGCTGTATAAATTCTATCTTTCTCATCTGTTTCTTCATGTCTTGTTATTTGTTTACTACCAAGAAGCAATAGACATCACAATCTTTAATAGTCTTTGTTTGAATTTCACAGAGAAGCATTTCCATTATATATATATATATATATATATATATATATATATATATATATATATATATATTTACTTGATCACCTTTAATAACTGTCACAAAAAATACATAGGAAAAAAAAATCTCAATAATAGATTATGAACACAAAATGGACATTTTACAAAAAATACATCAAATGTGTTGGTTGCCCATCATAACAAGACTGACTATAATTTTGACATAAGAATACTACTCTGATCAAAGAAGAAAATAATTCACGATGACAAAAATGTCTAGAGAGTGCCTTTATTACAAGGTTATCCAAAGTAAATTTTTTGCCCTGGATCTTAAAATATTTAACCATTCCTGACATAGTGTAGAATATCTAATAAAAAAGATGATGGAAAGAAAAAGAATCTAAATGAAATCAGCTCGATTAATAATAAAAAAAATTTTAAGTTTAAAATTCCCAGCATCCTGTATGCACTTGCATATATTTGCAGTCGCATTAACAGAACAAATTTAGTTCGATGATCATATGAAGTCCTAAAGGATCAAACACATCACAAGAAAACTTTTTTACATTTTATTATACATTTTCCTCTGACTCTCTCTCTCTATATATATATACATATATATATATATATATATAT